CTGCTTCGTGAGCAGCACTCAACAGCAGCAGCAGCAGCCGCAACGGCGGCAGCAGCAGCAGCAACAGCAGCAACAGCAGCAGCAGCAGCAGGAACAGCAGCAGCAGCAAGCTCTGTGTCTGCTCCAACTTCAGTTTTCTGGTGGTACGAAGGCATGGAGTTTGCCTGCAGGCAGCAGCAGCAGCAGCAGCAGCAGCAGCAGCAGCAATAACAACAGCACATCCTGCTGCAGCAGTCGCTGCTGCTGTTGCTGCAGCGGTTGCTGCAGCAGCAGCAGCTGCAGCAGTTGCTGCTGTTGCTGCTGTTGCTGCCGTTTCCGTTGCAGCAGCTTCAGCAGCAACAGCAGCTTGTCGTCCTCCACTATCTCGAACAACAGCAGCAGCAACAGCAACAGCAGCGGCAATAGCAGCAGCAGCAGCAGCAGCAGAAGCAGCAGCAGAAGCAGCAGCAGAGGCAGCAGCAGCGAAAATGACGACTCGTTGTCTTGATGGCGTTCCCCCCTCCTCCTTCGATGGCTGTTTGCTGCTGCAGGCGCTGAGTGTCCGTCGTGCTGCTGCTGCTGCTGCTACTGCTGCTGCTGCTGCTGCTGCTGCTGCAGCCTCTGTTGGTGTTTCTGCTGCTGCTACTATTCGCACCGCTGCTGCTGCTGATACTCGTCGCACTGCTGCTGCTGCTACTACTGCTAGTTTTGCTATTCCTGCTGCTGCAGCTGCTTCTGTTGCTGCCTCTCCTGTTTCTGCTGCTGCTGCTTCTGCTGCTGCTGCTGCAGCAGCAGCAGCAGCAAAGATGTTTCTTCTGCTGCAGCAGTTGCAGCAGCACCAGCAGCAGCAGCTCTGCTTTTGCTGCATCAGCAGCATCAGCACTATCAACAGCATCAGCACCAGCATCAGCATCAGCATCAGCAGCAGCAACAGCAGCAGCAGCAGCAGCAGAAACAGCAGCAGCAGCAGCAGCAGCAGCAGCAGCAGCAGTGTGTTGTTGCTGTGTGTTTAGGAGGCTCTGCGTCGTCTGAGTTCTGCTGCCTTCGTGAGGAGAGAAACGGCACACAAAATATTCACCATAGCCAAACAGGTCAGATACACTTGCTGCTG